AAATTTATTCATTTGGTTCATGATGAAAAACATATGCTTAATGTGCCTGTTAATATGTGACTGATTATCGGATGACATAGAAAAAACATTATTTTGAAATGTAAACAAACATAACTTATGGCTGATCATAAAATCATTCGACTTGATTGGCGTCTTGCAGTGAAACTTTTCCAAGCTTTCGCCACCTACATTTCGAAGTGAGAACTACTAGAAGGAGGATAGTTTTCAAATTTTCCAAGCAAAACAGACGCTTTTTGGGGCAAATCGGTCCATAAAGAAAAACTAATAATTTCCCGTGGAAACTTTTGCTTGAATCGTGTAAGAAAACGTGTTTGAAAACTATTTGTTATTATTTCGGTATGGATCAGAGATGTTTTCATGGCAAATTATGCATAACAAGTTTGCACCCACAGCGAGAGGTTACCTCCTGCGCAGCTGCATTTTCCAGAAAATGGTTAATATGTGCGATTTTCACTAAGATGAAAGTGGAAATCAAGTGAATTTGCTTAGGAAAGGTTGTATCATGCTAGTGGTAATATAGAATTGGTTGTATGGGACGCCAAATTCAATAAATGCTCATTTTGGCCTTTTTTAAGCAAACATATTGATACTCACAATTTTTGACGAAAAACGCTCCGGAACTTGATTTACTCAACACGCATCATACTATAAAATGGTGCTCGATGGTTTATAAAGTGTTAACAAGATGACAAATCATCTTTATTGTGAGTAATTTAGCAATTTACTTCTGTTTACATCATACGTACGATGCAGCATTGATGGAGCCGTGAAATGAAATGAATATATCTTATGAAAGTTCATCTGGAAAAGTCAAAGATGCACATCAGTCTGATCGTGAAAACATTTTCTTCTTCAATTCGATTGTTATATTGGAAGGATTTTACGCAGGCTTGATGAAAATTAAGAATTAATGCTAATTTTCACGAATTTTATATGCAGCCTGTCAACATTATCATCATCATGCAGTGGCGACATCTGCGTCGAGCTTTTACGGCAATCTTCCAATTACATGAGTCATCTCTAATGAAATGGTTGTGTAATTAAATGTTTCTATAATATTTAAATACTCGCGCAGTCACAATGCTGTTTGTTCGCCACCATTTGCTAACTGATATGATGAATAACCGAAAATGACGATAAACCTGAAATAGAATGATTTTCATTAAGGGGCTATGAAGAAATTTATTCATTTGGTTCATGATGAAAAACATATGCTTAATGTGCCTGTTAATATGTGACTGATTATCGGATGACATAGAAAAAACATTATTTTGAAATGTAAACAAACATAACTTATGGCTGATCATAAAATCATTCGACTTGATTGGCGTCTTGCAGTGAAACTTTTCCAAGCTTTCGCCACCTACATTTCGAAGTGAGAACTACTAGAAGGAGGATAGTTTTCAAATTTTCCAAGCAAAACAGACGCTTTTTGGGGCAAATCGGTCCATAAAGAAAAACTAATAATTTCCCGTGGAAACTTTTGCTTGAATCGTGTAAGAAAACGTGTTTGAAAACTATTTGTTATTATTTCGGTATGGATCAGAGATGTTTTCATGGCAAATTATGCATAACAAGTTTGCACCCACAGGGAGAGGTTACCTCCTGCGCAGCTGCATTTTCCAGAAAATGGTTAATATGTGCGATTTTCACTAAGATGAAAGTGGAAATCAAGTGAATTTGCTTAGGAAAGGTTGTATCATGCTAGTGGTAATATAGAATTGGTTGTATGGGACGCCAAATTCAATAAATGCTCATTTTGGCCTTTTTTAAGCAAACATATTGATACTCACAATTTTTGACGAAAAACGCTCCGGAGCTTGATTTACTCAACACGCACCATACTATAAAATGGTGCTAGATGGTCTTCAAAGTGATAACAAGATGACAAATCATCTTTATTTTGAGTAATTGAGCAATTTACTTTTGTTTACCATCATATTTACGATGCAGCATTGATGGAGCCGTGAAATGAAATGAATATATCTTATGAAAGTTCACCTGGAAAAGTCAAAGCTGCACATCAGTCTGATCGTAAAAGCGTTTTCTTCTTCAATTCGAATGTTTTGAATGGAAGAATTTCACGCAGGCTTGATGAAAATTATGATTTATTGCTAATTTTCACGAATTTTATATGCAGTCTGTCAACATTATCATCATCATGCAGTGGCGACATCTGCGTTGAGCTTTTGCGGCAATCTTCCAATTAATCATGTTTTGTTGTTTTTGTCATCATCCACATCCAGAGGGCCAGTCACATTCGAATGTATGGGAATGGTAGGAAATCATTTGGAAGTGCATGAAAATTTTTAGTTTTTATTCATTATCGTCTCTATGGGCAGTTTTAGATGCACAAAAATTGCACGAGTACATTACTATGGTGATAAGGTAAACACTCGTTTATTTATTTCCTTCTGTGAAAGCATGTTTAGTCACAAATCGTGGATTTTTTGATATTCTCCATACTGCAAAACTGATTTTCCTACCACTGAAGGGGCGACATCTCTCGGATCTTCAGTATAGCTACTACTCAAATCATATAATTAATTGGCATTCAATCTCAGGAATCATTGGTTTTGCTCGACGCCGAATGAGATTTCATACAACGGGCGGTAGGTGTTTTGGTTCAGTGTACGCGCCTGCACTGGGCTGGCTATACGAATATAATAGAGATCTCCAAGCGCAATCTCACGAACACTAAAATCCAACATCCATATATAAAAATTAAGAAGAAGAAGATTCAAAAAGGTATCGCGATATCACAACTACTTAAAAAGGTAGCGCGCGGTCTCACGCACACTTTTGTGCATCTGGAGAACTCTATAGCGAATTCGTTAAATATCGGGGTTAAAGTGGACCCTACACGATTACTTTTATTGACAATAATCGTATTGTCAATACATTCTATATTGACGTCAATATATCGAGATTGACAATATTTCTGAATTCACATCATCAATATTATTGTCAATAATTCCCCTTCGCGTCAATATATTGATGCGTGTGGGGTTTGCTTAACACCAGTTCCAACCCAATGAGGTACAGAGAGAGGTGAAGCAGATCGTGAAATATTGTTGTATTAGTAAACCAAAAAATCAACGTAAACGCAAGTAGTGACGTCACTAATTGCTTGTATCGTACAGGGGTTTTACTCACACAACTTAACCGATTGCTTCACCTCTGTAATCCAGCTAATTGGTTCCAACCCAGTGCGAAACCGAACTTTTTGTCAGTGTGAACCTCAACCTGAGCTAGGTTTTAAAAACAAACGAACAAACTGACGTTTGTCAGAAAACAAGCAGACCCAATCTTGATACCCGATCCAGGTTGGAACTGAATAATTGGCAAATCAAAGTTGGCCCTCGTGGAGAATAGAAGAACTATGAGAGTGATGATGTTTTCAAAATTTTACACGGTGAGGTATACGAGTGCAATCTTTAAATGCTTGTATTTTGCAAATGGAGTATTTTATTTAAATCTAGTTAATGCTACGCTAGTAGAAAACTTAAGGTCAACCAAATAGACATATAATATAGAAAAAATAATTTCTTTTCAGATTTTTATGTGTAGACATAGATTTCAGCTTTTCTACAACTATAGCAGCAACCAGATTTAAATAAAATGCTCCATTTGCAAAATAAAAGCATTTTAAGATTGCACTCGTATACCTCCCCGTTGGAAAATTTTGAAACCATCATCACTTTCATAGTTATTCTATTCTCCACGAGTGCCAACTTGGATTTGCCAATATCGATCTCCAAGCGCAATCTCACGAACACTAAAATCCTCGCTAAAATCCAACATCCATATATAAAAATTAAGAAGAAGAAGATTCAAAAAGGTATCGCGATATCACAACTACTTAAAAAGGTAGCGCGCGGTCTCACGTACACTTTTGTGCATCTGGAGAACTCTTTAAAGCCTAGTATACAGATCGAAGCGAAACGAAATTTGAAGCACGCGAAAAATCATGAAATTTCGCTAGCGAAAAAGGTTGTGAAAAAAAGTGTGTGGAACATTTTCCAGTTTCCTTTTTTCGCAGTTTACAGTTTCATGTGAAACGAAATCGATCAGTTTACACCTCCGGTGAAGTGAAAATCTGACAGATACGCTCTCCCGAAACGTCAACTTTTCGCTTAGCTGCTGCTCTTTTCGCGAGCGCTGCATGCGCGGAAAAAAAATAAACGTAAGCGAAAAAGATGCGATCCACAACATAAGATTTCACTGATCGTATCTGTTTACAGTTCAAAGCGAAGTGAAAAAATTGCCAATTGCTTTTTTAACGCTGGTGAAAAATTTAGTATTTTGTATGAGATTTTCGCTTCGCTTCGATCTCTATACAGGCCTTTACTAGAGATTTGTTTTGAATTTATTTGACGATGCGAAAAGGCTTACACGGAAATCGCAAAATACGCAAAAATGACTATAAAGGACTCAATTTTGACTATAAAGTATGCATATTCGGCTAAAACGGGACTACACCTAAAATGTATGTATTTTTTACACCTTTTATGAGTATCTGTTACTCATAAATGCATAAATTTTAATCATTTTTGTACTAGCAATTACTCATAAATGTGTAAAATTTTAGTCATTTTATGGGTAGTCCCGTTTTCTTTCATAAATGCGTACTTTATAGTCATAAAAGAGTTTTTTACGGTTACCGTGAGCAAAGGTCATACAATTTCTGATGACAAGCACAACGGCTTAACAAAAAGGACCTATGCATTGAAAGATTCACAAAAAGGCTTAGTAATTAATGTAATTATCGATTTTCATATATTTTTTAAAGCTTTTCGCTTATTTTGGGTGTTGTATACCGAGATACAGTTACTATTGTTATTGTGAACAATATAAATGCCTGAAATACTTCAATTTTCTTATATATGAATTGAATAGTGTCGAAAAAAATTAAAATTCATTTTCTGGTTTGTTTACGTTTCGGACATAGCCCATTTCAAATGTTACTCTAGAATTTGGTTTTTTGCCTCTGACTTGGTGAACAAATTTTAAATTTTTCATAGTTTCTTTGATTTCAGAGGTAATTTTGATATATCTGCTGAGGGTTTTTAATTTGCCTCAATCTGAAAACGTTAATAGCAATGCAACTCGAAATATATAATAATTAACCATTCGTCCTGCTGCCATCTTCGACAGGAAAAATCCGGAGGAATAGCGAATAGGTAAACAAAGAATGGATCCTATCATCGACTGGCAAATATCGCGCCACGACATCAAATCCCGGGGTCAGTATCTGCTCGAAACCGGTAAATGGGCCGATTGTCACTTTCTGGTCGGTCAGGAACCAAATCATCAGATGCTAGCGGGACATAAGCTTATCCTGGCGATGGCTTCTCCTGTGTTTGAAGCCATGTTTTACGGAGGTCTTGCCGAGAAGAACGACCCGATACCGATTTTGGACATTGACCCTTCGGCATTCAAATCATTGTTGGAGTAAGTATTTTTATAGTACGGTTAAAATTAAGGAGATTTGTCCAACATATGTTCCACCATAGGTATATATACACAGACAAAATAAACATCAATTCGGTGGACAGAGCCTGCGAGCTGTGTTATGGAGCAAAGAAGTACATGCTTCCCCATGTCGTCGAGCAATGCATTACGTTCCTGTGGTCGGATCTCTGCCCTAAGAACGTATGCCGGGCATATGAATTTGCCAAATTATTTGAAGAGCCCCGTCTGATGGAGAAATGTCTGCAAATAATGTGTACTAAAACGATAGATGTAGTCCAGGATTCAAGTTTCGAGGATGTCGAACTCAGTACGATTATCACGATCCTTGATCAGGATGTACTAAACATTGATTCCGAACTTAATCTGTTTTGGGCTATAAACAAATATGCAGAAAAACACGGATTATGTTCAAGCCGCCATCCTGAATCAAACCAATCCAACAATGACCAGGACCAGATCGGTTCACCACAATCGCCTCCAACCGTAGATGTCGAAGCTGGTCCATCAAATGTCCAACCTGGTGGCAATCAAAATATTCCTATGGGAAACAACGAACAGCAAGCGGCTCCAATTCCACTGGTAAATACTGGACGCCAGCAAGAGCTGCCCACGATTCGGGATGCCATTCGTCGGATTCGATTCTTATCGCTCAACCCTCAGCAATTTGCGGAAGGTCCTGCTCGGACCAATCTTTTGACGCAGTCGGAAGCGTTCGCCATCTTGATGAATATCTCAACGGCGAACAGTTGTTATCCGATGCCAGAAGGTTTTACAACTAATAAGAATCCAAGAAATGCATTTTCTGATTCATCACCTGCTAGCCCCATAGCCGGTCCGAGTAGTAATGTTCCTCCGCTTGGTCATCAGCCTGGTGCGTCCGCTGGGCCAAGCGGATTGTTTCCACAACATGTCCCACCGCCACAACCGGCACCAGTACCGTCACAAACCGTTCCAGCCCCAGCTCCGGCTCCTGTCCCTCCAGCGCATCCAGAAAACCCGGAAAGCCCATTTTATCCGGATTATCTAGATGAGATCCGCAACAATGACTCGAATTATGATCGTAAATATTACTGCCGCCGTATCATGCGCCAGCAAACCGAATGCCTCAATACATCGGTGCTCGATTGCTCTTTGACCTTCATCGTGGATCGCTCCGTGTGCATCACAGGAATTGAGGTCCCGACGCAAGTTCAAGGTTCGTCTATTGTTGGAAATGACCGCTACTCGGAGCTGCTCTATGCTCATCTCCTTGATGCTCACGGATCACGTTTGACCTACACACATTGCAACCAACGAGTCCAGTACAATTCTATGCTGGAGATCTCATTCGATAGACCTGTCTTCATACAGCGGCACAAGATGTACAAAATTGGAGTTGTATTCAACAAGGTGGGATGGTATCCCGTTAGCCAGTCCGTGGCAAAGGTCAATTGTGACAACGTTTGCTTCACGTTCTGTGTTGGATCGCAGTCGGAATCGGTCCGCGATGGATTGATCCGAACAATTGTATTTACCTATACGCGTGATGGAATAGCGTATTCCTAAACCGTGGAGTACATGTAAGTATTTCTCGAAACGCATAATAATTTCAGCATGATAACATTTTGAATTATTTGATTGTGTATTTAAAACAAATAATTGAAAAAGATAACAATTTAAATTAATTGATAGGTGTGTGACTTCTATCATCATGGCAGCAACATGATATTACATTATACTAAGGTACATAGGTTATGAGAAAGATCATCAATATACTGCCTATAACCACATATCAGTCCCATATGTCAGTTTGTCCCATCAAGCAGAGTAATCGCATATCATTCCCATCCTGAAATTCAATCGTGCAGAAGTTCAGTTTTTTTTTTTAATTTTCACATATTTTGCTGATATAACAAAACATGCAAGCTTCATTGCAACTGATTTTAAATCGAAAAAATTCTCAATAAATTAACTATATTTTTTAAAATATTGGCATGGGAATTGGGTTGTTTAATTTCGCAAAACATACTGGTTTGCATACTCATCATCTCAAAGAGCTTCGTTTTCTGAGCACAACGATGTTCTTATCATAGCCATAGACATTCATCACAATTTTTAAATCAAGATTTAAGTTACATACATACTCGCATACATATTCCCACACTGAACCAATATGACATACTCCTGTTATGTGGAAGTCTAATAAATTTGCGCTATAAGATAATCCAATGAAAATGATATGATTGAAAATGTGTCAGGTAAATTCTATATGAATATCTGTTACATTTACAATGCTGATAATTTGGTAACACATGAAATTTACTTCTTCTTTTGACACATATATTTAATTGATTTCTAGAAATAAATCGAAAAATAAACATCAGGCAGTGGGAGCTTTCACAGTTGTGTCTTTTTTTTTATTGTAGCTGATTTGGGATTCGATCAAGAACTGTTGAGGTGTGATGCTTTCGGTGTCTGCGCTCGATTCCACTGGGCCACGGCTGACTTCAAGATTTAGCTCGTTCAATCAGCATGAAGTAAGAACAGCTCTCCCGATATGGAATGTAGTGCAACGTTATGCTCGTTTTGCTAGAGTGAAGAAAAATAACACTGACAAATTTATGCTCCGTTTCGGTGGTGTCGTGTATTCAAATCTTTCTTAATGCTCCTGTGTGCAATAAAACAACGACTACATTATATGAGTTCATGGAACTGGTTCATGAAGTTCGAGTACTCGTGTTGGAATCTAAATTAGCCGTGTAGAAGGCTTACAATTAGAATCTTAGCAAAGTAAATATTGCAGTAGAATCATTTTTTTGACGTAGGACTACGTCTTTGATTTCTATATGGGGGTACACTTTGTGACAACCGAAATTGGAACATGTAACAAATAAAGAAAGATTTTGAACGTTAATAACTCAGCTGACCCTGGTCCAATTCCAATAATTTTATCACCAATCGATCATAAATATGGCTACGCATCGATAACAATGCTCCCGAATGTTGATTTTTAACAAGAAACTATCGAAAAACTGGTAAATTTCCAGCATTGTCCAAAAGCGTCGAATTAACTAACAAATCCACCAATTACCTACATGCATATGCTGCTTCCCCAGCACAGTCGTCAGAGAGTAGTAAGTAGACGAAACAAGTCGAAGTGGCATTCGCCCCCGATCATCGGGCGCGTGCGAATAGGGAGGATGGAATTGCGTAATATTTTGCACACTCATCGCCATATTCAGAACCAAACGCAAATTCTTCGAGATAACCATCATCCGTCGTCTGGCTCGCCGTGGCGGTGTCTGACGTATCTGCGGTCTGATTTACGAGGTGTGATGAAGGTGTTCCTGAAAAATGGGATCCGTGATGCTGTCACCTACACTAAACACGCCAAGCGTGAGCGGCCATGGATGTCGTCTACGTTTTGAAGTGACAGAGACGCACTCTGTTTGGTTTCGGAGGTTAAATCTGGATCAACAATAGAAAAGGGCCCATTAGCATTTGTAAACAAACCGTTCCAAAGCCCATTCCTCACAAATCGAAGGCTTCCCACACTAACCAACACCATCATCGTATAGGTAGAAGTTTCCCCTATCCGATGATGGTGTTGGTTTGCGTGGGTGGCCTTCGTTTTGTGAGTAAAGGGCTTTGGAACGGTTTGTTTACAAATGCTGATGGGCCCTTTTCTAATGTTGATCCAGAAATCATCACCAACTTTGGCAACAAAACGACTCTTTTCAGGGCCACCAAGCTTATTACAGTAAAGAGTAGGAATAGAATTCATCTGCCTGTTTGTCCATATTCAGAACCAACGACCACACAAAATGCTCATGTAATCAAACTGGAAGCAGGGGTACAAATTGTTTGGACGGATATTTTCGATGGAAGAAGCAAAAATCTAGCATCTAATTCAACGAAGACGGCAGGAAACAATTGTGAAGCCGAGTTATTTACGAAAGAGAGTGTCGATTAAGAGAATCGACCAATGTAGGTAGGACCTATTGAAAAGTAACGCGAGATTTGTTTTCCGTACTGAGTTCCAATGCTACTGACGCCAGGGAGGCAGCTCCCACACCTGGACCCTACATATCGACCCATCAACTCATGAACAGGGAATCAACGGCTTTACTTCCCGCCGGAAGGTGGGATCAGATATGTTATGCCTCAGAATATGCCGGTGCGACTGACATTGAACCCAGGCCTGCTAAGATTAGAGGTAATCACGATAACCACCGGCGCCGATATCTTTCAAGGTGATATGACGGCGAATGAGATTGACACAAATTTGAGTTAAGTTATCTCATAAATAAGAAATAAAGTGCAGGAACTCAGCGATGAGTAAATTTGCCTCATGTTTTCCCAAGTTTTTCCAGGATTTTCCAGGGAAAATTTCCCGAATTTGAGAAAAGTAAAGATTGGATTCACCCAGTCGATTGGTACTACCCCGAGACTCAATCAAATTTTCGTCAATTTCCTCATTTTCTGGCAGATATTTTAGGTTTTCCACAGGATACCATGAGACAAATTTACTCATCGCTGAGATCCTACACTTCTGGTGATTATGAGTGAACTAAACTCAAATTTGGGTCGTTCTCATTCGCCGTGTACGCAAAAGGAAAAGAGCCAGTGTTGCTACTTGATAGCAAACTACTCATAATGGGAGGAGTCTTTGTAGCTTTTATACCACTTGGTCGCACATCATTCTGCTTTAACCTGAAAAGATATAAAAGAGCGTTGCTGTATGGCATTAGCTCATTTTCGCTTCGGACGGCGTGGTGAACAGCAATAGCAGCAGTAGGAACAAGCAACAATTGACTGGTCGTGGTAAAGGCGGAAAAGGTCTTGGTTAAAGAGGCGCCAAGCGTCATCGCAAAGTTCTTCGAGATAACCGCCATCGGTCGTCTGGCTCACCGTGGTGGTGTCAAACGTATCTCCGGTCTGATCTACGAGGTGTGCTGAAGGTGTTCCTGGAAAATGAGGTCCGTAATGCTGTCACCTACACTAAACACGCCAAGCGTAAGTGGCCATGGATGTCCTCTTTAATAAATGGCCGTTTTCAGGGCCATCAAGCTTACATCAGTAAAGAGTTGGAATAGAATTTATCTGTGCTTGTTTGTCCATATTCAGAACCACAAGCCCCCAACGACCACACAAAATGCTCTCCAGAGTTGTAATCTTGTAACCAAACTTGGAAGCAGGGGTACAAGTGATTTTGATTGATTCTCGAAATCAACTTTCTCTTTGAAAAAAATTACTACAAATTTGGTACGCCTACAATTCAAAAACGGAAAGAGTTGAGATAATTGATAATTGATCAATTTAAAGAACAAAATGCTCTTCACATTTATTCCGTCCACTAGCGGTCCTACGTCAAGCTTCCGTTCGTGCCCCTAGGCACACACCCTTCTACTTTTTTTTTCAATCTCAATACATTCTTTTCCGGAACCCCTTATCTTATGGAACAATAACAAACAAAGATTATTCAATACAGTATCATTGTTGTTAGCAATATTTAGTTCGACTAATCATTTTAATGAGTTTACGATAACATCGTTGAAAATTGATTCAAAATATAAAAAGAACAATCATGTAAGATGTATTTTAATGGGAGTGATATTCATCCCGGAAAACCATACCAAAACAAATGTTTGCTGTTGGATTTCTTTTTCTTTTTTTTTTTTCCTTTGGTTTGTTTTTTCCGTCGATCTTGTTTTCCGTGCTGAGCACCAATGCTACCGACGTGCCAGGAAGGCAGCTCCCACACCTATCGACCCATCAACTCATGAACCGGGGACCAACGGCTTTACTTCCCATCCGAAGGAAGGCGTGATCAGAGATGTTATGCCTCAGAACATCCCGGCGGCGCCGACTGGGATTGAACCCAGGCCTGAATGCTGTTGGATTTCTTAAAAGGCAAATCTATATGACTATATATAATGATTGCGATAGATCTGTTTACAATCTTTAAACCTCAAAAATCAAAGGAAACTATTCCAATAAGATATACATGTTTTCCTATACTGCAAAGTTAAATGACAGTCGAATAGCTTTTACATGTCTGTTTACACACGACATATCAACAAACGTCAAAAATCGTTAAAAGCAACTCCAATAAAATATACATGATTATCTTATAAGATAATTCTTTAGTGAGCAATATTCATCAGGTATATTTAACTGAATTTTCTCATAGTGCAAACTTATATGATTTTCCATTAGTTTCTAGATGTCTGTTTCCACCCATGACATCCCTAATAAAAATATACCATAAACGAATGATAATCCAAATGATTGAACTATTCCACAAATGGTTTGGATTATACCCAGAACACGTCGTTAAGGAAAATAACCATAACAATTTTATTAGGGATATCACCAGTTTTTCACCATTAAATATATCAGATAATATTCATATACATCTTACCTATCGCTAACCACGTTCGAAGCAAAGTTTTATCAAGTACTAAGGCCGCGGCCAGGGTAGACGCGACACGCGACGCGACGCGATGCGACTCACGCAAGGAATAATAATAAATAATAAGATTCTTTTGAATTGGTCGCGTCGCGTCGCGAATCGCGT